TCCATGGGGTAACTTCTTGTTTGTTGAGCGATGTGGGAGGGTCCAGCCCACTGTGGGTGGTGCCACCCCTGGGCAGGTGGGCCTGTGTTGCATAAGAAAGCAGGCTGAGCAGGGGCCAGGGGAGCAAGTCAGTAAGCAGTGTTCCTCCATGGCCTGTGCTCCAGCTCCTGCCTCCCAGTTCCTGCCCTGAGTTCCTACCTTGGGCTCCCAGATGAACTGTGACCTGGGAGATGTAAGCTGAATAAACCCTTTCCTCCCAAGTTGGTATTGGTCAAAGTATTTTGTCATAGCAGTGGAGAAACAAACTAGGACACACGTAAAATAAAATAAAATATTTTTTAAAAGACTATAAAATCTTAAATATATTAGTATTTAGTTGTTTTTTTTTTTTTGAGACAGGGTCTTGTTATGTAGCCCAGGCTATCCTCAAACTTGTAATTCAGCTTCCTATGTATTGGGATTACACTTGTATGCCACTATGCCTGGCTAAATTGTATGTGTGTGTGTGTGTGTGGGGGGGGTTATTTTGAGATGGTCTCCCTGTAGTCCCAGCTGGCTATGTAGACCAGGTTGGGCTCGATGTCAGAGATCCACTTGCCTTGCCTCCTGAGTGCTGGGATTAAAGACATATATTATCATGCCTTGCTGCTATTTATTATTTATTTCTGTATATGAGCATTTTGCCTACATGCAAGTGCACCATGGGTGTGAAATGCCAGAGGAGGCCAGAAGAGGGCATCAGATTACTTGGAACTGAAGTTATCGACTCTTGTTAGTCACCATGTGGGTGCTAGGAACTAAATCCTCTGCAAGAGCAGCCAGTGCTCTTAACTGCTGAACCATTTCTCCAGCCCCTTAACTATTTTTTTTTTCTGATTTTGAGACAGGGTCTCCCTGTAGCCCCAGGTGGCCTGGAACTCACTATACTGATTAGGGGGGTCTTGGTTTCACAGAAATCCACTCGCCTCTGCCTCTTGAGTGCTGAGATTAAAGGCTTGGGCCACTATTTTGATGTGCTGAGATCAAAGTCAGGGCTTATGTATGTAGGCAAGAGCTCTACTATGAACTACTACTGAGTCCCTATTATTGTTGTTGTTGTTATTGAAATGGCACTTGGCTTGCTACCCTGGCTGCCTTTGAGTACTCCCTTCTTTTACTTCCTGAGTGATTGAGATATAGGCCTGTGCCATGGCATTCTGCTTGATTTAAAAATGTATATATGAGCCAGGTATGATAATGCACATCTTTAATCCCAGCATTTGGGAGGCAGAGGCAGGCGGATCTCTGTGAGTTTAAGGCCAGCCTGGTCTACATAGTGAGTTCCAGCACAGCTCGGGCTACAGGGAGACCGTCTCAAAAAGACCAAAAAAAAAAAAAAAGTATGTGTAGGACTTGTGGTGGTATGCCTTTAATCCTAGCACCTTGAGTGGAGTAACTGTATTAGGCCACATTTTCGTTACTTAGTCCCAGGTTCACCACCAACTCTGACTCTTGGGCATCCCTTTTAAATTTCTGGTCACTTGTTTCTGCATCTGCAAATTATAGATGTTAAAAAGATTTATTTTTATCCTGTTTTATGAGTGTTTTGCCTGCATGTATGTATGTGTACCATGCACATGCAGTGGTCACAGAGGTCTGAAGAGGTCATCAGATTCCCTGGAACTGGAGTTACAGATGGTTGTCAGTTGCCACATGGGTGTTGGGAACCAAACCTAGGTCCTCTAGAAGAGCAGTCAGTGCTCTTAACTGCTGAGCCATTCCTCTAGCCCCCAAATTACAGATTTTAAGTAAATAAATTTTTTTGTCTTTTTTTTTTAGACAGGGACTCCTTGTAGCCCCAGCTGTCCTGGAACTTAGTATGTAGTGTAGACCAGGCTGGCCTCGAACTCACAAAGATCTGCCTGCCTCTACCTCCCAAGTGCTGAGACCAAAGTCGTACGCCACCATGCCCGGCCGTAAATAATTATTTAAGGTCCTTTTCCACTAGGCATGGTGGTGCACACCTGTAACCCCAGAAATTGGGAGCCTGAAACAGGATGATCAGGAATTCAAAGCTAGCTTCAGCTAAATACAGAGTTTGAGGCCAGCCTGGCCTACATGAGACCCTGTCTCAAATTTAAAAAAAAAAAAAAATCTTCTTAGCTCTTAATGTCTACAGTGTAAGAATTCTCAGTTCCTGATGCTGTGGTACAATTTTCCAGGACATCTGAGAGCCTGTCTCTGTTGTCTCTTTGGCAGATTGCATTTCTTTGGCAGAGATGAGAGTTGATCAGAATCTGTTTGCCAACTTGATTTCATGTGAGCTTCTGCAGGCAGTGACTAACAGATGGCCAGCAGATGCTGTCTCAAATACCAGGCTCCCATTAGCCTTTTAGCCATCGTTGAACTATGAGTGATTCCTCAGTTAGAACACAAATTCTGAATAACGTCGGTGCCAGCGACTGTGGAGGATGGCCAGCATGAGTCTGAACAATTCAAGCTCTCCTTGAAGCTCTCATGAGCTTAAGACAGGCCTTTGAAGCTGACCTGCATGTACAGTTAGCAGTCCTGATAGTATACTACATGTGTGGCCGCATGCATACACGCTCTCGAGTGCACACAAACACACAGACACACTAATGAAACAAAATTGCACTGTGGTTTTTATGGAAAAGGAATAACATTCAAACACAGCTTAGTGAAAGGGAGGGACTTGGGGCAGAGCTAATAAACATATACAGCTATAACTTAAACTATTCACATTGAATGTGCGTAAAAGTTCAGTATAATTAATATTGGAGGGAAAAATACAGTTCACTCTTTTTTTCTTGGGTCTTTTAGAGGCAGGGTCTCCCTGTAGCCCCAGCTGTCCTGGAACTCACTATGTAGACCAGTCTGGCCTTGACTCATAGAGATCCACCTGCCTCTGCCTCCTGAGTGCTGAGGTTAAAGGTGTGCGCCACCACGCCCGTCTCAGTCCACTCTTTTGATGGAAAATAGTAACCCCAAGAGACCACAGCAGCAATGAAGAGATTCATCTGCAGTGTTTGCCGCACAGCAGAGAGGGCTGTGCTTCAGCTGATCCAGCCCAAAGGAGAAAGGACTTGGAGGCCTTAGCTAGCAGGCACTTAGCTAAGTCAGGGAACCACAGTAATTGGGGAGAACGTGTAAACTAAACCCCAGCATCAAAATGAGCAGGGTGGCTGTTTTAAGACATCCTGTGATTCTAACAAGAATGTGTGCTAGAGATTCCAGCTGCTGTTACAGCTGGGAATAAAGCCCTTCTGACACCTCCAGGAAAGGGAGCGGGCAGCGGAGCGGCAGTGTGGCACGGTGTGGAGAGGGCCCAGTGGATTGCTGTGTTCAGACATTGACAAGTCTGGATTTGGTTAAGGCATAGACCTTCTGTATTTCCTTCAGATTAGCTTCCAGACCCTGTATCAACATGGGAGTTGGGAGTTGTCTCTGGGGAAGATCAGGCAGCAGTTTGATCTTGGATCCCATCAGTAAAGTACACAAGGCCAGGGCTTTTATTTCACCCTGCTTTGAGACAGAGATTACTTGTCACTGTTCCATAGTTGACAGAGCTCCCCTCTCTGTTGAGAACTGTGAAAAAGGATTCTCTTCCCTGATTCTCTCATCCTTAACTTGGATCTTTTCTGTGGGCTTGAGAGGACCTTCGGAAGGTTAGTTTCTGGAGTTGACAGGACTGGACTGAACTGCTCTACTCGATTCTCCCTGGACCCTGAGTAGCTGATAGAAGCCCTTCCCATGTCAGCTGCTCTTCCTGAGTTGGTCCTCTTTGCTTCTCCCTGCTCCTAGGCTTGTCAGACACCCTTTGCTTCTCTCTGCCCTGTCCTGTACACCCTCTTTTTTGGGGGGGAGGGTTCTTTTTGAGACAGGGTCTCACTGGAGCCCGAGCTTGCCTGGAACTCACTATGTAGACCAAGTTGACCTTGAACTCAGAGATCTGCCTGCCCCTGCCTCCCAAGTGCTGGGATTAAAGGCGTGTGCCCCCTCTCTCGGCCACCCTCTTTTTTTGAGAGAATATTTTATTTATTATTTTTCTTTTATGTGTGTGAGTGTATTCCCTACATGTATGTGACTTCACCTGTGTCGGCAATGCTGCAGAAGTCAGAAGAGGGTTTCGGATTCCCCTGGAACTGGAGTTCAGGATGGTTCGTAGCCTCCATGTGGGTGCTGGGACTCGAACCCCGGTCCTCTGCAAGAACAGTCAGTGCTCTTAACTGCTGAGCCATCTCTACAGCCCCATACCCTCTTCTTTTTAACCTTCCCACGTGTATCCTATACAAGACTTATGAGGACTGGGAGATGGGAGATGCTTCCTTTTCTAATTTTCTTTTTTTCCTTTTTTTTTTTTTGAGACAGGATCTCCCTGTAGCCACTGTAGACCTGGAGCTCACTATGTACACCAGCCTGGCCTTGACATCTCAGAGATCTGCCTGCCTCTGCTGGTATTAAAGGTGTATACCACCCTGCCCAGTTTGGTTTTCTTTTTTAAAAATATTTACTATAGCTGGGTGTGGTCTACATAGTTCAGGTCTACATAGCCTGGTCTACTTAGTTCAGGTCAGCTGGGGCTACAGGGAGACCCTGTCTCAAAAAGACCAAAAAAACCCCATTTTTTACTATTTGGGGGCCGGGTGTGGTGGCACATGACTTTAATCCCAGGACTGGGGAGGCAGAGTTGGCTTCCAACTCACTATGGCCTAGATCTTCCTGTCTCCACCTCCCAAGTGTTGGGATTACAGGCATATACCCAGCCCAGTTGCTCTGTGTGTGTCGGGGGGGTCCCTGTGGGGAGTCAGAAGTAGCTGGAGGCTTTCCTGTCACTCCTACATCTTCTTCCCCAGGTCCCATCAGGATTGTCAGATGATGGCGATCATAGGAGAGTTAGGTCTCTGGTCTCAACTTGCACTGCATAGGGCAGGGGTCACTGGCTGTCATTCTCAATCTCTGTTGCTGTGAGGATAACAGCTTCTTCTTGCTATTCTTTGCAGGTTCACTAAGAATCTTTCCCCGGACAAAATCAACCTCAGCACCCTGAAGGGGGAGGGTCAGCTGAACAACTTGGAGCTAGATGAAGAGGTTCTACAGAATGTGCTGGAACTGCCTACCTGGCTAGCCATTACCAGGGTCTACTGCAACAGGGCCTCCATCCGGGTGAGTCAGAGTGCTGCTGCCGCCTTGGGCCAGGAGGGCTGCCTTCCTGAGGGCTGTACTCATCACCTGATTCTTTGCTTTCCTCTTTCAGATCCAGTGGACCAAGTTGAAGACCCATCCAATTTGCTTGGTAATGGCCTTCTTACTGCACATAGTCAAATGGGGATGGCCAGGGTAGTCTTTCAAAAGATAGGCGAGAAATTGAGGTGCATCCTCACAGCTGACCCTTTTGCCAGTGATGGTGCGTCTTCATGGCTTGGGAGCTCCCCTCTGAGCCAGAGTGACTGTTGTCTGGACTTCATCTGCAACTGCTGAGCGGTATAGGGATCAGCACTCAGACACCAGAACCAGAACTCAGTTTTTAGAACAATAATGGTTTTTATTAAGCTCTATCCTTAAGATGTCCATTTCCCGTTGGGATCAAGACAAGAGGCTAACGGTTTGGTCTGTGTTGGTTGTGGGTGACTCTTAGCACAGTATGTACTGTCTTCCTGGTGCTCTGAGGGTTTCGTGCAGATGCTTACTTCTAACTTTTATTCCAGTGTCTGGATAAGGTGGAGGTGGAGATGAAGACCTGTGAGGAGCCTCGACCCCCCAATGGGCCGTCTCCCATTGCGCTGGCTTCAGGACAGAGGTTAGCTGCTTTAGCCATGCTGCTTCCAACATGTAACTGCTCCACAATACATTTTTGGTTAAAACATTTTATTTATTTATTTATTTATTATTTGTTTATTTATTTTTGGTCTTTTTGAGACAGGGTCTCCCTGTAGCCCCAGCTATCCTGGAACTCACTATGTAGACCAGGCTGGCCTTGAACTCACAGAGATCTGCCTGCCTCTGCCTCCTGAGTGCTGGGATTAAAGGCCTGTACCACCACACCTGGCTATTTATTTATTTATTTATTTATTTATTTATTTATGAGTCTCACTCTGTAGCCCAGGCTGGCCTCCAATGTACTATGTAACCCAGACTGGCTTCAGACTTGCTATGCAGCCCAGGCTGGTTTCAAACTTAATGATCCTCCTGCCTCAGCCTGTGAGTTCTGAGGTTATAGGAGTGAGTCACCTTGTCTGGCTAAAATAAAACTTTTCATTGTGGAAAATTTCAAACATACAGTAAAGAGAGGATTGTATAAAAACCCCCCTTGTACCAAACCTGTAACCTTAGCAGTTACTACCATTTTGTCAGTCTTCCTGCTACTTGGCTCTGTGTGCTGCAGGACTAGAGAGCAGATTCCAGGCGCCATAGTGCGCCCCTCCCCCCCCCGCCGTCTCTGTCTTTGAAAACTTTGAATTTGGCTCAGCCTTTAAGAGCACTGAGAAGTTGTCAGACTTTTCCTTAACAATTGATAGAATTTTATATG